GTGGTTATTATTTATGGGGAGGGGAGGGGTTGGGAAATGGGGAAAATAAGGATTGAAAACTTTTTTGACCCCCACCCCTCCAGACTGAAGGCAAACTTTTTGTGCCTCCCCCTCATAAAAGTAGAAACTTTTCTGACACTCCCCCCCCCCAGTGTGGATTGAAAAATTAACAGCAATGAAACAGGCATGCATTGCAGGTGAAGTTAGATATTAGTACAATCTGTTTAAATCTAGCTCATGTTTTACCCTGGTGAATATGATTCAACCACATATGATTAAAAATATTATATTATGTGTTACTACTGCAATGCAACATTTGTCCTACCATAACCCTAACCCATGGCCCGTCTTGATACAGCGAAATGATTTGAACACAGGGCTTTTTTTAAGAACAGATGGTTGTTGGTGACAAAAAGTTTGGTGTGGTATTGTATGTATTAGTAGGGGGGTCTGGGGAAAGTTTTTTTGTAATTTTCCCTAGAACTGAAATGTGAGCATTTTCTGAAACAGATTTTTGGATATACAGCATTACATTGTGCTTTGATAGACCAAATCTGATCAGTTAAGTGCACTTGCATGGTATGTTTATGTAAATACCACAACTGGGTCACTCAGGTGGTAAGGAAGCTTGTTAAACTCAGTGGGCCGCACTCCCACGAGGCGCTACCATGGTTGGCACCGAGCAGGGAAATTTTGAAAATTTTGAGTCTCTAGATCATTGGAAATGGCATTTTCAGAGTCTTTTGCTATTTGTGATTATAGAAGTCATAACTCTAGACATGGTATTTAAGTTCAAAAACTTTTTTGACCCCCTTTCTCTGTGTTAAAACTTTTTTGACCCCCCTATTTATAAGGGTAAAACTTTGTTTGCCCCCCTCTCATTTACCACCACCCCCCCCCCCCCATAAATAATGACCATTCCCAAAGTGGCATGTTATTGTTGGGATCTCGGATCAACTTAATAAATATATAAATACACATCTTCTTGTTTTATTGTTGCATCAATTTTAATCGGAATAAATACTAACAAAGTAGGTCAAGTGTATGGATAAATTATTCATTTACTATTAGCTAAAGTACATTTTTACAGTTATTTATGTACTTAGTCTTATTTGCATGAGTGTACATGACAGATTGTTTTGTTAAATTAGATATACCCAGTTATCATTTATAACATATGGTTTGTTTAAAAATGCTGGAAAAAACCCAAAAAAACTAGCCAATTGAAATAAATGCACTAATAACTTGCTAAACATAGCTAGTTGCTATTTATTATATAAATAACATCTGTCAACATACACTCATGCTTTTTCCTACCACTTGAGTATCCACTCACCAGGTGTCGTTATGACTCCACTCACCAGGTGTCGTTATGAAAAGTTTTGGATAAACTCATGGGCGGATTCACTGGGGGGTTAGGAGGGGTTAACCCCCCTTAGAATCTCTCTAACCCCTCTTATAAAGTGTTTAATTAACCCCACCAACCTTAGAGTTAGAAGTCTTTAACCCTAATGCCTAACCCCTGTAAAAAGCTCACTCAGTGGTGCTGCTTGCACCCCACTAGAAATGTTTCCACCCCTCCTTTAAAAAAATAAAAAATCCACCCTTGGATAAAATCCTATTTTAAAAAAGTCAACCCAATACTTGATACACTGAACATAGACAATAGACATCCACAACATGGGTGCAAAAGTGGGTGCAAATACTTGCATAGTTCAAAAGCAATATAACCAACATGTTGTCCATCCAGTTCCATAGTCTAGTCAATAGGCAATTCCAACTTTTAATTTATGCATGCAGTGGGCGACAGGAAGTAAGGTATCATATTGCTGATTATGCTGAAAAATTTTAATAAAATAAACTAAAAGCTGGAATTGCCTATTGCACATGGGTCCCTTGGATTCAATGGTGCTGGCCATATTCTTACATTCACTGTTTTATCTTGTTCATGAAGAGTGAGGTATTATGCCTTAATTTAATTTTCCAAATGATGTTGGTAGTTTTTCCCACGAGCAGCACCGATGCACTTGAATGAATGAATGGTACAACGTGGGCGATTTCTTCCTCATCACTTTCATCTTCTCACTTAAACGTCATCCCTTTCTGCCCTATCACCTTGATCACCTCTTTCATTATCATACCCATCCTGAACAGGCTCAAGACCAGCCAACCACTCAAGTAAATCTCTTTCTAGAAAATCATAAGAAAATTATTATTTGATACATTATCATCTCTAAAATTAGCAAACATGTAACCTCTAAAATTATATTCTCACAACCATCCACAACTAGATGCAAACAGGCATCAAACTCAACAAAAATTTATAAAACAATGCATACAAATAGCTGAATAACAATATATACCATCAGACTCATCTGACTGTATGCACATATATGTAAAAATCTATCCAATACAAACAGGCATCATACTTCAGCAAAAATTTATTAAACAATTCGATTAACTCAAAACATGTACATATGTATCACAGTAACACAGTACATATACACACACAATAGGGTCAAACTAGAGGCATTATAAACACAAGTATGACGCCATAATTTTGTACAGTGTATTTATAAAATTACAGCACAAGAATAAAAACAACAAAGCGGAAATTTGACTATAAAATAACACGATAACTGTATAAATGCATTGTAGTATACCAAGTTACCAACCTTAAATACTGCGCTTGTTTTCATGTTGATGATACACGTAGATTTAACGCCATCCAACTTAGAAAGAAGAGCCTCGCTATTGGGAATATAAAATTAAACACAATTCCTTTTCCCAGACGGATTATTTATAAAGGTAAAACGACAGCACATCCCATGCAATTTAAAAAAGGTAAACTTGATATAGTAAAACACAAGTCATAATGATGATCGCAACAATACAGCAATAAAATGCTGTTTCTTTTCACAAAGTATCGCAGACTGACACTCTTGTCGTTCGAAAGCTTCCATTAAGTTCCATATTGGTTTAGTCAGAGAGATGTTCACTCCTCGACAGTCAACAGTCAATGAAGTCACGCGCGGAATTAGGCGCTCAATACCCATGATGCTTTGCGGCCTGCTGTCCAACCTCCTCTGAGTAGAAACTGCATGTGTAATATATTAACTGCAAGTGTATTTACATTATCTTAATTCAACTTGCAAATGTTAGTGTTCCGGTGTTCCGTGTTCCGGAATGATGCTGTTCCGGTGTTCCGGTGTTCCGTTGTTCCGGTGTTCCTTGTTTTACTAATAGCCGCCAAGTTATTCAAACGTAAACAAGGTGACAAACATCTAAACGAAGGTCAATGCAACAGAATATATGAAATATTCGTTTTATGTTCATTTTAAAGTTCCATAATCGTAATGAACAATCTATCCACTATCTATCTTATAATATGATCTCCCTTTTAGCGAAAATATGATCTCCATCTTGTAATATACTGAGTTGTTTCGAAGTTGACTGGGAATAATTAGCACTGTCAAATCGTGAAGTCATGTGACCAAAATGATGAAACAATTTGATCACATGATTGAACGAAAATTGAATTTGGAATTATCAAACGTCTTTCCCCGTTTGAAATTCTTAGCGGGATGTGGCCAGTTTAGTGATTTTAGTAATATTTTGAAACAGTTAAGTTTCACAAAATATGTGCTCACCCATGATTGCAACTATTCAAATTGGCCAAACACGCCGCGGAAGCTGATTAACTAATGGAATTTGAGTAATTAACGTTGTTTTATGAATAAATAATGATGTACAATGCATAAAACCCTAGTTTACAGGTTGTAACTGCTCTTTCTGTGCTGATCGCCAAGACAGAGAAGTGCAAGATAAAGAAATTTACGGACTTTACAGTATGGCTCCACGCCTGTTCGACCTCCTTGCACGTTACAAGAAGCGGTACGTACTTGCGACTTAATGCTGTTGCCCAACCGATTGATCTTAATTCCGCTCCGCCTCAGAATGAACCAGTTTCGCCGGTGAATGATCCAATTGAAAATGAACAGCTTCAGGCATCAAACTTGGACTTGGGCGTGATTCTTTTATTCATATTGGTATTTGTCTGTATTGTAGCGTGTTTTTTTTGCGGGTAGTTATATCGCTTTGTTAGCAGCAGGGCCGCAGAGAGGGAGGGGCAGGGGGGGGCAAATTGCCCCGGTCCCCGAGTTGCTGGGGGCCCCTGAAAAATTTTTGTTGGGCCCCCGCCTTTTTTGTGTGTTAAATATTTCCGCGCAAAGGACAAGAGATCTGTTTTTTGGGCTAAGTACCGAATTTTGGCATGAAAAAATGAGATAAAGTCCCTCGAAAGCAATTGCAACGTACTCGTCTGAAAAAATTTTGTACTCCGGAAAAAATTTTTGACCCCTAAAATGGTACACTGACCGAAATTTTTTTGGCGACGGGGGGGGGAGGTTGTTCTCCAGAAATTTTTTCCGGGAAAAAATTTTTTGGATAGGGGCCCCTAAAAAAAAATTTGCCCCGGGCCCCCGCCAACCTCTCGGCGGCCCTGGTTAGCAGTATATGATCAGTGTGGCGAAGTTATTTTTCGTTGTATAACGCATGCATGCATGGTTCACTCGTGGGCGGCTGAGGCGGAAAATACGGCCGCCTCTTTTCTGTGTGTGTTTAAAGATCGCTTACACTTGTGGTTTTAGTTACAGTTCTGTTGTATGTTATACATTATATCTTCATTTGATGTGTATTTCCGTCCTTGTGCGGGGTTATTTACCGTCAAGTTCGCTTTCGGTTATTTTAGTTCAGTTGAGATTGCGACGCATGAATGATTCCCGTCTGGTTTTATTTAGCATTGTTAATTTTGTTAATGTTCTACGCGAGCGGGTCGTGTATTTCGCAAGCTTAAATTGTTGAAAAGCAAAATGTGTACTTTCGCCTTTAATAAAATGGTAGTTGGGTATTGTGCTTTCGTATGGTATGGGTCGGGAGCGAATTGCACTGCATGATTGCTTCATTCCGAGCTTCCGTAGTTTATTGCATTTGCTTGGGCGAAAGAGGACCACTGTGTTTGCCGTATGACCGAAGGGCATGTCGCAATACATAATTGCTTGCTTGCGACCGAGCACAAATCCTACTATGGATTTAGCAGTTGCCAATGCCACCGAGCACGGGTAGCTACTGAATTTGGATTTTAAACAAAGTTGCCAATGGGTTTGGCGTATGAGAGAAGTGCATCTCGCAATGCCAGATTGCTTGAGACCGAGCACGAGTAGCT